AGAGACCAGAAGAATATCAATCTATAAGGATGTTTTGTACTTTCAATGAGGAAAATAAATATGCGTTATATGCGACCAAAAAGTCTGCGAGTTTAAAGTACACACTGTACTTTGTAGAAATTCTGTGAATTTAACTACACAACCCAAAGGAAATAATGCTAATAAAAAGGATAAGAGTTGGATCTCTATAGAACGAACATGACTGACTTTATTTTATTTTACATTTTTGCATTTATGAGGAAAAAAGTGTTGTTTATGGATGTGACATCTCTCTGTTATGGATGTGACAGACGTGAAATTGACTTTGGTTAATCAAATATAATTGATTGAATACATTAACAGATACATTTTCGAGCATTTCTAAAGTACTGTAAAATATTTGTGCACACTAAAAACTTAGAAACGGTTTCTCTATTTTGGTGAAAACTTTTCATCCCATATACAGTATATATATATATATATAAAGAGAAGCTACATCTCATGTTGCTGTACCTGTGGCGCTGCCATCCTCCAAGTCACTTGTTTGCAGTATGGAATTCGAAGTTCTCCACCCACTGGTAGACTTCCTCAAACGCTGTCCCTGCAGATGCTGGACTGACTCCTCTAAGCTCTCTCTCAGCTAGAACACAGGGTATGGTCTCAAAACAAACCCCTTATCTGAAATTGAAATCAAAGACAATGTCATACAACTCTGAGCACCAACACTCACCGTCGCCATGGCTTCAACTTGATCATCTGCGTGTTCCTTGTACTGTTCCAACATCCGATCCACTTTGTTTAGATTTCGGCTTGTATCCTGCACAAAAGCACAAGCTTGCAAGTCAAAAGATCCCTGCTGTACACAACGGAGCAGTCATTCACGTGCAATGAATAAAGACATCTTACCTGGAGAGTGTTTGCTAAAGTGTCGATTTTGACCGATATGTCTGATACATGTGTATCCCTTGGAAACCCACTGTCTGACCTTTCCCTAGCCCGCCATCGATGCCCTCTGGGTCTATTATATGTGCCAGATTCACTGGAGGAGTCCATACTGCCATGAATCAGGGGCTAGAAATAAGCAACGCTAACGTATATAAAAAATATAATAAACACCTTTGTCATTCGTAAAACGTGCATTATATATCTGTCTTAACTAATGTTACGCGTATAAATTCTCCAGATTATGAAAAAAATATTTAAGATGGATAATTAGAAGTCTAGTGAAATAAAGATCCTGTAAACATTAACATGCCACAGAGAGTTAACGTTAATGTTAAATTACCAAGATCAAGCTACGTTAGTTAGCTTTGTATTTGTTTTTTTGTTTATAGTTAAAAAGTACTGCCTCAGCGTAGACTATCGAATCACAAAACTGCTAAACTATAAGACACGTAACGTTAATGTACATTAAACTATACCCGAATGCCCAGTTGTTAGACAATTTTCGGATGATCAACTTGTGATACCGCTATCGTCTGCTATGGCAACTTGAACTGGCCGCCTAACAGGAAGACAACAAACACTATGAATCATGGGAGTTGTAGTGTTACAACCCACTGTTCTTTAGAGCAACTGCTTCATGTGTGAGCTAATCTCTTACGACATTTCTTAGTTTTGTTTGTGTTAAATGTTTGTTAAATGTTTGTTTAAATGTTTATTACTTGCTGTCTTGCATAAACAGCTACTTGAGACGTTTTTAATTAATTAGTGTCCTCGTTTTTACAGAAGACTGTAAATATTTCCAGCTATATTTTAATGGGTAAGTTAGTCCAGATTATACCTTCGTTTGCGTAGGCACGTGTTGTGATTTTTTTTTTCAGAAAGGTTTTTAGGGCTTACTTATAATTACTAAAAATCATTATGAGTAAATATTTTTGCTGAACATAACTATTCAGTTCCTATAGCAACCGCAAGGGCGCCTCAGCCGACAGCCACACTCTTCATTCTGACTAGAGTCAGAGAGTGACTGTCTCAGACTCTCGTCTTGCACACATTTAAGCTTTAAACTCATTGTCGGTGTTTTTCACTGTTTAGCGTTACTTTTACAAACCAAGTAGAGAGACTGTAGGGTTCGTGTGGAAGAAAATAGCCTACATTTATTCTTTATACCATGAAGACACATGTGATGTTAGTATTGATGCTGCCACTTGTGAGTGTGATCGGATGGACGAATTCATGCCCGCACGGTTGTGAGTGCTCCCAATGGAAAGCCTTAGTTGTCTCATGCATGGATGTAGATTCTATTCCAACGTTACCCGAGAGAACAGAAGTCTTGTAAGTATTTTTTTTTCTTAGGATAATATTTGTGTTTTTGTTATATGTAATTTTCCTTTTGAATTAGCAGAAAATAATTATAGAAACCTGAAAGTTAAAGTATTTCCAGAAGTTCTATGGTTTCCGCTATACATACATGTTAACCATTAAAAACAGTAGCCTACTTTTTAAAATAATTTGTGGTGTGTTTGGGAACATAGTCACATAGGCTATTCAATCTGGATTTGTTGGTTTGACACATTGACACTACAGACCACCGGAGATCATTCGTCATAGTTTAAAAACTTAGTCCTATTACAACCAAATCAAATTATTTGATAAGTTGGGTTTCGCGATTTTACAATATAATTTGTCAATTATTATTATTATTATTATTATTAATATTATACTTCAGATTAATCTATACATTACAACAAACAATGTTATTATTAATATTGGTTAAGAACCCAGCTGATAAAAAACAAAACAATAGAAACCATCATGGAAGAATCTAAATGTTTCAACTACAGATATAAAAAAATAAAAACCATATCAGGGTTCAACGCTAAGGATTTTTTCTAAAGGGCCGATCAGGCCAATTGTTGATATTTTAACTTGCCCTGCCAAAGTTTTCACTGGCCCCACCAAAAAAATAAAAAATAATAAATAAATAAATAAATAATAATAATAAATAAATAAATAAAAGTTAATAGCTATTTCTTAGCCCCATATTTTAAATAATGTGGCAAAATAATGTCTATAAATCTAGAATTTAAACATTTTAAAAATGTTAATAAATGTATAATGAGCAAAAATCAAGATTTTATGCAAACGAAAGAGCAGTATGGAATATGTGCTGGAATTTTATTAGAATTCTAAATTATTTTTATATAAAAAATGGCTTGCCAAAATGGCGACATCTCATTATTATAATTTTTTTGTTTGTTTGTTTGTTTGTTTCTTAATGTTGTACGCATGTAATTGTCTACTTCCAAGACTTTAGAAACAGATGTTTTCTTTTAGCCTTATAGTTTGATGTTGCCGCCATGCTGCCATCTTTTCGCTGTACTGGTTGTTACCAGGTTACGGAAAAAAATAACATGCTTATTGTTACTGGCTGATAGGGGCCAGTAACAATCCTATCTACTGTCCCGAGCGTCTTCACGCTGGCCCCGGACCACCAGCCCTGCATATGCATTTTAATGAATCCTAGTTTGTTTTGTGACACTTTAGAAAATCGTTTTTAAAACACTCAACAGCTACAGTTTCTATTAACACCATTAAATGCAATTTTCATTATAATCAGTTAACGCATTACAAAACCATTATGTTACGAGAACCAACGATTGCTTTCCGGAGATCGCTGGTTTCCACTATACCAGGACTACACTTCCGCATATACCAGGACTACATTTTCATACATGCACTTCTTCCAGACACACACGCCTGTTCATTCATCTAACCTGATTACAATCACCAGCTGAACCTTGTCACAGACTGATAGCATACCATACATAAGCCACTCATGAACCCATCCAGTTTGCAGAGTCTTGTTTACCCTAGTGTGACATTACAACGCGGTTCCTTGTCTTGGTTCTCCGTGTTAGATCTTAGCCTAGTATTCCCTGTTTTCCTGTTTAGCCGCCTGCCTTGTGACCTGTTGCCTGTTTATACGACGACGATTTTGGATTTGCCTGCACATACCCGTTTGTACCTGATTTGACCACTGCTTGCCTGACGCTGAATAAACCTGCATATTGGATCTTACCTCCGTTGTATCTGTCACTCCCTCCCTGGTCGTTACACATTAGAACTTCTGTTATGGTTTCTATTTGTTATTTTTTGATAGGGGGCAGGGGATTGGGTGCTGGGGTGTTCAGCAGGGAATACCCTTCAGTTGATATAAGAACTGAAAACTATAACTACGCCATCATTCTATTCCTTTTCTGCTACCTGCTTGAAATATGTATTTCATGAAATTTTGTTTTTAATATGTATAAATATTTATGGTGGCATGATGGCTCAGTGCAAGAAGGTCGCTGGTTTGAGTCCCCACTGAGTTTGCATGTTCTCCCCTTGTTAACGTGGATTTAAAGTTTACCCCACAGTCCAAAGACATGTGCTATTAGTGAACTAAATAAACTAAATTGTTCATTGTGGGTGTGTGTGTTTGTGTTTGTGTGAATGAGTGTGTATGGGTGTTTTCCAATGCTGGGTTGCAGCTGTAAGGGCATCTGCTGTGTAAATCATATGCTGGAATAGTTGGGGGTTCATTCCGCTGTGGGGACTCCAGTTTAATAAAGGGACTAAGCCGAAAGGAAAATGAATGAATGAATATTATTAAGTAGTATGGAAAAATATATGATTTATGTGCAAAACAGTTTGCATAGTGTATTTTTAGTAGATATATGACGAAATTGCTTTGTTTACCAAACAATTGGTTCTAATTGGATTTGCATTGAAAGTAAATGCAGTTAGAATAAAAGTTTAAAAGTTATGATTTTTATTTATTTACTTAATGTGCTACAGTTGTTCTCAGTTGCTTTGGAAATTCTCAAAACCGCCTGTTCAATTTTCACACAGGCCCGTGGCCAGGAGATCCCATTTCTGACAATATTTCTAAAATGCTTGATAGACATGTTAATAAATTAGCCACGTCAATAAAAGCTTTTTAATATTTTTTCCACATTTTTTGAGTGCCTTGGATTGATTTTTGCCATTTATTCTCATGAACCATCTTACCACAAGAGCACAGTCACATTATTTTAGCTACCCCTGAGCACTTTTTGTTTGATTTTAGTATAAGCACTTTGACAAAAATGTAGGAAGTAAGTGCGGTAATGATAACCATTCAAAAAGCTAATCCAGCATAAATTTATGCCTAAAATATCCCTAATATGCAGTATTTGAATCTCATGATTTGAGTCGAATAAATGCATAAAAGTCAATTTTTTGATAAAAAAAGAACCACTCCTTTTAATTGGCTGGCTACGGGCCTGTCGCATCATGGTGTCACTTGTGCACATCAAAAAAAGCAGTTTCTCATTCCTTTGAACAAGTTGCAAATACCTTTGTATATTCATGTAAGTGATTATGTCTCTAACGTTTCCAACATTATCAATTGCTTATGTCATGTTGGTCAAAATGTATTATTTTGGTCTCTGTTGAACATTTAACAGCAGAGACCCCACAACATTTAATTGTTTGTTCATGGCTTTACATGCAAAATGGCTGAACAAGTTGTCATAATATTTAGTCTTCCTAATGCATTTTTCTATGCACTTCCCTTAGGCTTTTTTTTTTTTATCTGTTTAGAATTGGTACATTTTTCCCAGATGAATCCTGACTTTTTCTAATGAAGGTGCATCTCATAGTAGATTCCTCCTTGATTATTGCAATGCCATTTACTGGTTTACCTACGGGTTCTATAATGAAGTTGCAACTGATACAAACTGCAGCAGTCAGAGTTTTAATGAAATTGAAGAAGCGAGAGCACATCACACCCGTATTAATAGAATTACACTGGTTACCTGTGCACCAAAGAATAGATTTTAAGATTCTTTTATTGGTTTATAAAGCACTTCACAACATGACACCTTCCCACATTTCCGACTGTTTATCAAAATGTAATCCAGACCGTTTGCTTTGCTCTTCTAGCGCTGGGCTTTTAGAATTTTACTCTGTAAACCTGATGCGATCTGGCGGCACTTCTTTTAGCCATTTTGCTCCAAAAATTTTGAACTGTCTCCCTCTTAAAGTGACAGAATCCCCTAGTATTCATGTTTTTAAAAAGCGTGTTAAGACACATCTTTTTAAAATTGCGTATGTATACACAAGCTTTTAAGGTGTATGCATTTTATATTATATTGTTGTAGGTTTATGTGTGTATGTATGGTGTGTGCTTGTATATATAAGGACTATTGTGTGCGTGATCATGTGGATATATGCTTATATTTTGTGTACATGAATGCTTTTATCCGAGTATATGTGACAAGTTTATGTGGTCTGTTTTAATGCTTTTTTGTTGTTTGTGAGGAACTTTGAGTTGCACGTATGTTGGAAAAGTGCTATACAAATAAAATGTATTATTATTATTATTATTATTATTATGTTCACATTTCTACTTTTTGTTTTTCTTTGTGCTATGCAGTACTGTCTTTTCCTTTCTGTACCACAATGACATGATCTGTCAACAAACTACAGTACAAATAGCAAAAAGAAAAATAGAAAATAGGCATAGTTTACATTAGAACACTCCTCCAGAGTACAGTTATATTGACAACATGACTAAATGATTTGACATATCCATACACAATGACGCAAGGACTTGTCATTCTGACAGCACTAACATGTTCTTTGACGGAAAATTAGTTTTGAGAGATGAACTAAAGGTTTTGAGGCTTTGTTGGTAATCTATGGTGTTTTCCCACAAAACACAACTGTGTTCAAATTACGTCTTTTAGACGTTTCTTTTGGACAATTAAATGACGTCACCCAAGGGTGCAGAATGAAAGTTTTTATGACGTGCTTATTGGACTTAGACACTGCCTTAGATGAAATCAACCAAAACATTACATCTCTCAAAATCTCAGCAGGATCATTAAACACCTCTACAGACAGCACCAGCAGCTTCACTTATTAATCTGTTTGACTTTAATATTATCAGAAGTTCTCAGTCCCAATTATTGAGAATTAAAGTTTTAAATGTTTTATTGAAAAAAGTCACCAAGGCAGTAAAGAGTGGTTACTTGCATGGGGTGATTTACGTTAACTTTTCTTTATTTGTTGAAGCATTGTGTTATGTCAAAACCTACTGCAGGACAAAAGTGATTGTTGCTTTTTTTAAAACGTTTGATTCACTGATTTATCCGTGATTTTAATTTTGCACAACGATGATAACATGGTGTTGGTTTTGCTGAGATACTAGTAGAAATCATATGCTCCTGCATATTGAAAGCCAGCAGTGCATTGGTCATTGGTTTCGAAAATACATTAAGCGTCTGAGTGGCTCATAAAAGAGACATCAGGAAACATCATATTCTTCTTAACGATGGTGACACATTTCATACTGCAGTGCATGCTGGAAAAATCGAACAACCCTTGTCTGTGACTGTATGGAAATGTTACATCATCAGTGAGATGCATCCGCCGATTCTTAATGTGTATTTTTAGTGCTTCAGATGTTCATTGAGCTTTTAAAACCTGATCAATCCATTGCTGGTTTTAAATGTGTTATCAGTGTATTTAACAGCACAGTGCCATTAATATACAAGTCACTAAATGAAATCAGCTAATCAAACTTTTAAATAACCCAGAAGCATTATCAAACTGCTTCTAGGTTTTATTGCTGTAACAAGTCACATAAGTTAGTAATCCTTTATAACAATTAATAAAGCTGATGTGCTTCACTGCAATGTTTATATATATATATATATATATATATATATATATATATATATATATATATATATATATATATATATATATATATATATATATATATATATATATATATATATATATATATATATACATATATAAATATACAAATAAAGACACAAAAAATAAAAAAAAAAATAAAGAAATGGAAAAAAATACAAATAATAATAATTATAATTATAAAATAAATATAAAAAAATCTTTAAAGTATTGTATATATTGCATT